GTCATAACAGGTGACAGTCACCTCACAGACACAATCCAACAGCATTGCCCTTTGAGCAAGAGTAATCGTATCGTGTTTTCTTTCAATGTAATAGTCCGCTGACCCAGATGCGTTACACCGTGTCTTAGGGAGGTTCGTTCTTTTAAAAGGACAAACTTCAACAACCTGAGGCATTTCCTCCAATCCCATACCCCACAAACCAATCAGATAAGTGACGTAAACATCTTGAGTAGCACAAAAGAGCAGCATATCCGCGCAGCGGACCATCTGCTGGTGTCCCACGTCCGCAAATTTTCATCAAACAGACACCCCTTGCCGCGTGCTATCCGTCATCTTTTAGAAGAACGCTCGCGTTCCTTTGCTCGGTACAAATTGACGGGTCTGATGGAAGATGCCAATGACTTCATCCGCATTCGCAATTTATGCAAAGCAAGGATCCGAGAGTTCCATAGAAACCAACAGGACGGCATTTTAGCCAGGGAACGGGTAAACCGGTCAGTCCTGTACAAGTTTATGCGACGAACCTGGCAAAACACTCCATCCGCCCTCGCTCTATCTAAACCCAATGGTACCCCAGCCACCTCATCTGAAGAAGTGGCGAAAATGTTCCGGTCCCATTTCGACCAAATTTTTTAACATCCCATCTCCACTCAATCATCCCAATCTTCATCCCGTAACCTACAGATCCCCGTTAGATCACTTTGTCATAACAGTCTCAGAAGTGGAAGAACAACTAAAGTGCGTGAACTCCTTCAGCTCCATGGGTCCGGATGAAATCCAACCCCGTATACTGAAAGAATCTGCGGACATGTTGGCTGCCACATATGCCCATCTCTTTCAAATTTGCTTGGACACAGGAACCCTTTCACAACAGTGGAAGATGGCAACTGTTATCCTTATTTATAAGAAAAGCGATAGACACTTGCCTGCTAGCTATAGGCCCATCAGTCCAACCAGTATTACCAGTAAGATCTTCGAGCGCCTCCTTAAACTGCGTATTCCAGGACATCTGACTGAGAACGGCTTGGTACACGCTTCCCAACACGACTTCCTACCAATAACCTTACTAACCTTAATACTAACTTTAATGGACAGCTTAACCCATGCCTATGACGAAGGTCATATTTCGCACGCGAACTTCATTGACTTTGCCAAAGCCACACATCCCTCTCCTGTACAAACTAGAGAGTCATGGCATCACTGGGCGATTGCTTTCCCTGCTTACTGGTTTTCTGGCGAATCGCTCCTTCGCGGTTCGAATAGGCACATCCGTTTCTTCACCCTCCCCAGTCTCAATAGGAGTCCCGCGGGGCTCCGTACTAGGTTCCATTATATTTCTGATCTATATTAATGATCTCCCTAAATGTCTCTCTATAGCGATTGCCATGTACGCGGATGAGATGCCACATCTGAGGCACAGACGCATCCCAAGTGCAGTCGGCGATTGACCAAACAAAAAATTGGTCAGTCGACTGGAGCTTACCAATCAATGCCGAAAATTGTGCAAGCATGACCTTTGGTAACGCTCCTGGTCAACCTTTCTGGGTAAACGGCTCAAGCCGTATCCAACTGGTGGATCAGCACAAAATTCCTTGTTTCTGGCTGAATAGCAACCTCTCTTTTTCTTCCCATAACCAAAAGGCCAGTAAAACCGCTTTTCCTATTCTTAACCTTATCAAACGATCTTTCCCGCATATAGCCTTTGCTCTATGGAACATACATACGCCCAATTTTGGAACATGGCAGCCAAATTGCACATTCTGGCCTCATTCGTGACCGCGACTCACTTTAGCGTGTGCAGCGTAGAGCCATAAAACTAGTACACGGCTTGTCAGAAATCCCTTATCCTGTAGGAACTAGGTTATCTTCCTTCCTAGATTGATTTCCAAAACGTCTGTGATAATACCACAGGCCGCCTCTGGATGGGGTTTGCCTGTGCCGGTTGTTGGACCGGATTCGACTACGGCTCGGGCGGGTAGTCTGCAGATTGTTGATGGTGGTTTGTACAGTGGCCATGGCTAAACGAAGGTCGACCAACTGCTGAGACAATAGCTGCACTTCTGTCGTGGGCTCGTGCAGGTGCTTACCGGGAGTAGGGTTGGGGAGCGACTGATGAACGAAGTTTGGCTCAGGGCTCCCGATATTCGCCAAAGATGGCTGGAAACGTTGAGCCGGCTCCATTGCTCGGTCAGCAGCCTCATCCAGTTCGTCTAGACTATGGAAGTGTGCGAAAACATTCAGAATACTCTGGACGTATGGCGGAAGCCGTTGAAGCCAAATCTGGCGTAGTACGGAGTCGTCGAGTGTGGTGGTGCCGACTAACGCACGCATTTGACGCAGCAACTGGGACGGCTTGAGGTTTCCCAATTGGATCCCTGACAGGAGGAGCTGGATGGTTTTATCTTCGGAAACTGCCATACGACGAAGGAGTGCTTCTTTGAGCACGTCGTACGGGTTATGCGCAGGGATATTCATGTAAATATCCCGGAAGTTGATAAGCTGGTCGCGCGGGATGTCGGACAATAGCTTATGATATCGGGACAGTTGCCCGGTGATGCGAGCTTCATGAAATCGCGATTCCAGAAGTGCAACGAACGCTTCTGGATCCTCCGGCATGAACTCAGGAGCCCTGATTTGGGCCCAGAGTGCCTCGCTGTCTATGGAGTGCTTATGATCAGGGCTAATCATACTTAAGCGCAAATATATAATATGCGATGTTCGAACGGGCTACAAAAATATTACCGAATATCACCTGAAATACAAACTACGTTGGAAAAACGAAAGTGGGCAAAAATGCAATAGTAAATGATGATAAAACCGCGAACTAGGGGTAAATATAATCTAAAATTATACGCACGAGAGTGTTTCCGTGAAAATAAGTACGCGGACAATTTAGCCCATGCGTGACCTAGAGAAATTAAAATTCCTCCGAAAACAAAAATTTTCCAACGTAAATACAATAAAATGAGGGCTCACCAATTTGTAGGAACTAGGTTATCGGTACCCCGGGCTAATACGTCTAGGTCGCAAACGTACGTTCGTACGAGAAGAGGATGAGGCGATTTACGAAACGGAGGACGACGTGTATTGTAATGACCTGCAGAGCGAGAGAGAGAGAGATACAGAAGGGTGAGCAAGCGTGCGGAAAGTGAAAGCAAGCACGTGCTGACCAAAGAGGTGGCCTTGGTGTGATAAAACAATGAGATGCACAGGAGGAAAGGTACATTGGGAATGGAATGTGAATGGTCACTACAATCCTATCCTACTACAGCAACTGAATCTATACCCTCTAGATATACGACGTATCAGAGGGGATCTTTTCCTTCTATATGACCTCTTCACGTGAGGCCAAGTTGACCGCTTCTTCACACGCTCTAGCCTGGAACACTTAAGGGGACACCCAAGAACACTCTTTAAACACCGGCCCAGAACCTTCATCTGCTCCAACTTCTTCACGTACAGGGTCATCTCAGAATGGAGCAAACTTCCACTACAGATTATGAACTTTTCCTCCAAAAGGGTCTTCAAAACCCTGCTAGACTCACACCTGGCGCTTACCATCCCCTGACCTAATTGGCCTCCATCTTCTGAAGGAAACCCCCACGTTATCCTGCTTATCCCTGTTACTACTCCTTTCACATTCACGCTCTCTTCTAGATTTTTTTCTGATACATGCACTCCTAACCCAGCGGCACCCTATTGGAGCCAGCTCCCATTTCCGGCAATATCCCTTTCAGCTCGTGAACCGAACTGCAGAAAAGAAGACAAATCCGGAACCGGGAATATTGGGCGCAAGCCTTGAACCCGAGTACTACTTCAGAGCAAAGTTCTTTGCCCATAGAATAATTAACCCCTGGAATAAGCTGTCTCAGGAGGTGGTCTCGGCCTCAACGTTGTCCCAGTTTAAATCAAAGCTAGATAAACCTGGGCGGTGGTGTTCCCATAGGTAGCCCTATAAACTGGCGCGTATCATGGTANCCTGTGTACCGTGACTCTTAAATCACCTGCCGTTCTCTCCTGTGTTCACGCCCCGTATGAAAACTGATCGACTGTAAAGTGTTGTTTGTATGATGGTGAGCATGAGAGCTGATATGTATCGCTGACCCGGAACAGGTGAAAAAGCTTCTCGTTATAAAGTTCTTTCCCCCGTAAGTGGCCCAAACCTTACAATGACCAAAGGAGACAGATGAGGAGGGGTAGCCCTATGTTTACCTCCTTCCAGCACGGCTGTGAGACCAAACGGCGGCAGGGAAGCTGGTGCGTCCATACCTCACAAACGAACAGCAACCCAGTGAAGTTTGCGGTCCTCTCCCCCGGATCTCGAGAGGTGAGTGGTGGAAGACCTGTAATGAGCGGAGTTGGGGATGACCTCACCCAATTACGACTCACCGAGGCATTCACTATTCCAATTGAGTAATGACCCTATGCCCAACGTGGACCTGCAAGAGAGTGAGGACGGAGATATAATGTGGAACTAGCCGTGGGTGGAGGTTCAAATGGAATAAAATGCACGCTCGTGGGTCGGCCAATAACGGTTTGCACCTCCGTCTGGAAATTGAGGGAACACAGGGGCAACATCCCAACCACCACCATCCTCCTAAACCGAGTTCGGCTGGGCCCTGGGTGGACTGCATCCAATGCGTCCTGCGCTGGGACGCTCTGGACGATCGATTGGCAGTGGCCATATTCAGTCCTGTGCAACCTGACCTGACCTGACCTGGAACCTGACAGGGTCAGCGATGCTATCGTGCTGCTGATAGACCCAGAGGGCTTGATAGCCAGATAGGTTCCGGACGAACTACCGCCAACACATGACCCGGGTGCCGGTAATCTGGATGCCAAGGGGGTTAAACCTGTGGGTAAACAAAAAGATGTCTTGTAGTGACACGCCACTTTCACCTTTTACCTACAACTTCTTTTCTACTCGCAACGAGCTTTTGTTTNTCACCTTACCTGTTTACACTCAACCGCGGAATTGTCATTTGTCCCGGTGAGTCACGCCGCATCGCTACACGTGTAAACCTTCCACTGCAGGTCTCGTCCTATAAACCGTTGTTCACAAGCTATCTGTCTTCTTACTCGTCCGAAGCAATAGTCGTATTGCTCTTTATCATACTCGATCGTCGAGGTAAATTGTGGTTGATTATCGTAGATAGTGTTAGCTATCTAAAGTGGTGAGCCCGTACGTTTTTTACGGACCGCAATATATGTATATTTCCGCAATTTATTTTTTGCATCGTTGTATTTACGCTTTATCGTTTTTGAGATTGTTATTTCAGCTTATCCGTAATCGCAATTTGTTCTCAGATTTTGTTATATACGTAAAGTTTCATCATGTTCGACGAGTATAAACCAATCTTAGGGGCGATGTTTTTGCAAATTCCCGACCTAGCAGTAACCAAGCCGTCGGTATGGTTCGCGGTATTCGAGCAAGCGCTGCGCAATAAGAGGATAGTGTCTGATTACCAAATGTACGGACAGCTCATCATGAGGTTGAGCCCCGCGAAAGTTGGGGCCTCGGAGGACCTCAGCGAAAATAGGTATAGGCTCTTGAAGGAGCGGATCCTAGCGGAGGCCGGCCCTTCGGAACGAACAAGGCTAACCCAGCTTT